CTTTAAAGAACCTCCTTCCGCTTCTGTCCCGTCCCGGATAAATAAAAAAAAACACTCACTGACACATTGTACAAGTTTATTCATCTCCAGAAGGCAAAATTTATTTGCTAAATAAAGGAAGGTTCTGTATTTACGGGATGGGTGGCAACTCTAGTGTACTCACTTTCATGAGATACTGTAAAATTTAGGATATAGAAACAGGACAACTGCAAAAATTGCCACAATTGCGTTTGAATTTTTCAACTGGTTTTTTTTTTTATTTATTATCTTGTTTCTTTTTCAGGGGATACAAATATGGAGCAATGCCAGAGATTGTTTCCTGAAGATGTAAAACTGAAGCCATGTGCAGAGGGTTTGGTTGCTACATTGTGGATTCTAATTTTCTGTTGAGGCCACAGATCCATCAAGTTATTATATTTATTGTTTAGTATTTTAAGATTATCATGTCCTCTAGATGAAATTCCACTAGTAGCTCTTTAACAGGGCCTCCATAATAAACTGTGCTCACATTCAGAAAGAGTTCACATGGCATCAATTAGACTGGATAAAAATCATTTATGAGGTTGTTAAGTAAAATCTGTATATGATCTGTTCTTTTCATTTTCAACTGACAATCAAAAATCAAAATGGCTACTGTCAGTTTTAGGCTCAGGTCTAAAACCCTAAACAGAAAATTTCAGGACCAATATGAATTTATTTTTCACATGGTTAGGTTTACATGACCAGAGATTACTCTCTAGCTGTCTTGATCTGTAAATGTAAACATGGTCACGATCCATCCGCCGTAGAAACTGCTCAGAGGAACAGATCACAGAATTATTTTTTCTTAAATTCACAATTAATTTAATATACAGACAAAAAAGTCACAATGTTGAACAAAGTAATCTTTCAAGACTCAGTTCAGACACATACGTTATAATGTTTGGTTTTGTTTTGACAGTCTTTGGAKTTGACCCCCTCCATGCTCCGCTCCTTGACTTTACCATATTCTAGATGCCCACCTTTGTTGTAAGTTTTGCTGCTGTCAGATCTTTGTTTTTTCCTTTTATTAAAGTTGTTTTTTTTGTTAAACCTCTGAGTTCCCCTTTGGTCTTCATTCAGGGTCTGAACCAACCACCAACCCTAAAAGGTTCCACAACCATTTGTTAGAGACAAATCAGGCAGATACAAAATTGGGACATTAATTTGGGGAAATACCTCTTTGAATATTCTGGTTTGGATTCCATCTAGATCTAYATGTTGATGGTTTGGATGAAGCTTTTATTTTGACAATTCAGAGCTCAACAGGACAAAAACAGGCCAAACATAAATCAGGTTCTAGTGACAGGTTCTAGCTTTAGAAGTAAAGATGTCTAATCTGACAGGTAATAGGAGGCAATAGCAGGAAGGTTGGTGTAACTTTCTTCCTAATTGAAATAATTGTGTTTATAATCCATGAAGTCATCACTACTCAGAGTTACAGGGATGCATGGCTCAACAGGGACAAGACTTCATTAGAATAGCTACTGTACTGAACAGAAACCTGTGATTGTTTTATTCTCTTCTRTWAACCTCCTAAGACCCAAACTCTTGCATTGCAATGCATTTATGTGGCCCAGGTCCTATGAGGTTAAAGATGAATAATATACATTTATAGATTTATGAAGGGCTTCTGTGTATGATAGCAGGCTATCCTTCCAAGTTAAATACAATAAAAACYACACGTTTACAAACACATATGCCTTTTTTCACACTGTCTGATGTGAAATCAGAATAAACCTTTCCAGTTTTAGGTCAGTTAGGATTACCAATTTTTTTTCTATTTGCTAAATGCCAGAATAATAAATTTTTAAAGGCAATTTTTATTACTTTCTTCAAATTCAAAAGTTTAAATACGCTTCATTAGTATTTGGAACCATTGCCCTTAAAGGCACAGTGGTGAAGGATTTTGTCAATTCTTTTAGCCGAATTTGAGATAATCACTAATGACAATAATAAAAAACATGTCTAATCACTGCAGACAAAGACCTTGTTTTATTATTTTTACCTTATAAAAAGATGTTTATATCTCCATGGTCGCGGGTCGCCACTACAGGCA